CAGTTCTTTCTTTCTTTCTTTCTTTCTTTCTTTCTTTCTTTCTTTCTTTCTTTCTTTCTTTCTTTCTTTCTTTCTTTCTTTTTTTTTTTTTTGGCGGAACCTGGGATTGAACTCAGGCCTTTGCACTTGCCAGGCAAGTGCTTATTCTACTGAGCTATCTCCCCAGCCCCTAAGTTTTAATTTTACATAACAATACTCTCTCCTTTCTTTAGGTCAAAAGGAGAGAACATGCAGGTGCCAGCCCCCCCACCCTCCAGCCTGCTTTGTTTTCCAGGCTGAGTTCAGTGGAATGAGTTTCAGAAGTGAGAAAGCAAGTGTGGACCTGCGTTATCTCCCCCATCCACACCCTCTTCTCTGCTCTGTTCTTTACTACAAGAGCCCCCTTGCCCACCTGTAAGTGGTGGGAAGGCGACCTGGGGTGAAATAGGCCCCTCCACCTCCTCAGAGGCAGCTCTGAGTAAAGCCCTTTTCCTGTTTACCCAAATATATGGCCTCCTTAGATTTGGTTAGCAGTGAGCAGATGAACCTGCAAATAGGAGCCTGAATGGCTGGTCACAGCTTTGGTGACCTCTGCAGGCCTAAATTTTATATTATTTTATTTTGAAGAGTTAAAAACAGAAGCAAAAACAAATAGAAAAAAAGAGGCAGAAACAGGGTAACATACAACAATACATACATTACAGATTTTCAAAACAGAAATAGCTAATTAACAACGGCTGTTATCACCATCTTCACCTACAAATCTGTTGCCGAGGTCAACAGTCGGACCCATGCACAGCTGGGGAAGCTGTGGAACTCGGCGCTTGCTTTCAAGAAATCCTAGTCCTTCCCTTCCTTATTCATCTTAAAGAGAGTACAACAATCGATAAAACACCAGAAACAGCACACATTCAGAAGACCAAGATGAGAGGCTCTCAACCATGGGCCCTGCACTACACATTGCTGTCCTTGATGTAGTCGCCCAGACCGCAGATAGCAGCATAGTTAGTCAAGGTGAAAATTCTAAGCATTAACTACTATTTTCAAAAAACTGATGGAAATTATGAGTACAATTACCTCAGCCATCCTGTATATGTACTTGTATATTTTTTTCTTTCCTTTTTTCTGATCTTCTCCTTTCATCTTCATTGTTTAATCCTTGTGTTCCATTTCTTTCTGTTTTACTACATCTATTACACCTTTCAGGTTTTATTTCTTTTTTCAGGTTCTTACTCGAGGGAGACAATACAATATCTACATATGTGGGTCTGATTTATTTCACTTACGAGTATAGCCTCTAGTTGCATTCACTTACCTAGGCCTCCACAGGGATAAAATGGCTTCTTTTTTCATATTGGAAGCCTTGAACAAGAGAGCCAGGAAAAGACAGGCAAACTTCTGACCAGTTAATCTAAGTTTTAGCACAATGAAAAATATTTTGAAACCTGGAATAAGAGCTTGACTAAGATTTATTCAGTTAAAACAGAAAACAAAAACAAAAACAAAAACAAAACGCTTCAGGAAATTCAAACTTAGATTAACGATGCAATCAATTACAGTCTCCTTCACAACCAGTGTATATTTTTCACTGGGCTACAACCTAGAATTCTACCTTCAGATATACAAATTTAAAATTAAGTGTTGCTAGGTTGGATTGGTGGCATACACCTGCAGTCCCAGCACTTGGGAGGCTGAGCCAGGAAGAAAGCATGAGTTCAAGGCCAGCCTAAACTGTAGAGTAAGGCCCTGTTTCAAAAAGAAAAAAGAGAGAAAAGATTGCTAAGTGTTGCTTAGAACTGTAGAAAAAAAAATTGTGCCAATAACGTATTTATTTATATATTTATTTATTTGGTACTGGGCATTCAACCCAGAACCTTGAGCTTGCCAGACCGGCACTTATGCCATTGAACTATCTCGCCGGTGGGTTCTGTTGAGATAGGGCCCCACTATATAGTTCAGGCTATCTGGCATAGAACTTACTATGTAGCCCAGGCTATCCTCCTGCCTCAGCCTTCCCAGTGCTGGGATTACAGGTGTGTGCCACCATGCCTGGCTCTAACTTTCTAAAAGATGATAATTGATAACTTCAAGCCTTTATGGGTGGGCATGAATATGTGTATTATGTTGTATCCTACATGTGTTCATGGTTTATATACTGTTTAGGTGGCACCAGATTAATTTAAAAACTGCTCAGTAACTAAAAACATAAATCTAAATGTTTTTTTGGGGGCGGGGAGATAGCTCAGTAGAATAAGCGCTTGCCTGGAAAGCACAAATGCCTGAGTTCAATCCCCAGTTCTGCCAAAAAAAAAAAAAAAAAAGCCTTTTTGTTCATTATTTAAGAAATTTTTTTTTACAAAAACATACTGTTGGGGGTGCTGGGGAGATGGCTCAGTGGAATAAGCACTTCTCTGGCAAGTGCAAGGACCTGAGTTCAATCCCTGGTTCTGGAAAAACAAAAAACAAAAAACAAAAAACAAAAAAAACATACTGTTGGGGCCAGGGAGATGGCTCAGTGGAATAGCACTCCCCTGGCAAGTGCAAGGGCCTAAGTTCAATCCCTAGTTCCACCAAAAAAAGAAAAAAAAAAAAACCCCAAAAAACAAAAAAACATATTCTTAATATGCATTTTGCCTCTGTTAGCCAATCAGAATTACATTCTAAGCATCTGACTTAAATAGAAACCCTTAGGAAAAACAAAATCCCTCTTAGTTTCACAAAGGTTATTAAAAGAAGATTAAAGAGCACAAAAGGAATATAATTAAAATTTTTGAGTTTGTCAGAAGACTTAAAAGATCCTTGGAAATCAGTCAGTTGAACACTGTACTCATGGCATCCATTTGTTTATTTTTTGCTTTTTGGAACAGGGTCTTGCTCTGGCTGTCCTCGAGCCACGCCATTCCCAGTAATCATTTTATTTAAGTTTAAATTGTTTAGCTTCTCAGAAAATATATTTTTTTTCAGAAAATATTAATAGTATAAAGGCTGCTTCTAGAATTAGTGGGAGGTCTCCTAAAAGGTAGTATTTTGCTAGATATTGATTGAAAGTTAGGGTTTATAGCAATAATGACTTTTATTAAATCCCTGCTTTAAAAAAATTGCAAATCAGCTGAAGCTGGTGGCACAAGCCTGTAATCCCAGCCCTTGGAGCTGAGGCGTGTGAGCCCAGCCTGAGCTACATAGCAAGATCCTGTCCCCCAAAAATAAATAAGAATTTTAAGAATTAAAAAAATGCAAATCATGCTTTTAATGAATAGTAGATAAGAGTTCAGGCCTGACTATTTCCCATTGCTGGAGCAAAGGCGCTTATTCGAATCACCCGCCGAGGCCCGGGCTGGTGCGCGGGTGGTCAGGGCACAACACAGGACTGAGCCCCGACCCTGGAGGCAGCACAGTTCTAGCTCTGTGTTTAGGAAGGTGATTAATTTTTTTTGGATATGATTTAGTGCAGTTACAGAAATACTCCTGTGAAGCATGGGCTTAGCTTGTGACAAAGGAACAAAGGTATTTGACATTTTATGTAGGGAGCAAGCGGTCTTATGACAAAGCACGTGTGGTACTGGGTTAGGTAACTACAGCAACATTTATGAGAAACAAACTTAAGGAAACAAACTTAAGCTCTGAGATGGTGCCTGCATGCAGCATTGCGTTGGGCTGCTTTTTTTCCCCAACTTCATCATCCCTATAGTGGTCTGTGTCGTGGCTGCATCAGTTTTGGGACTGGTTTGTTCCAAAATGTTTGCAGGGCTTTTTTCTTTTTTAAAAAATTTTATACAAGGTCTCACTATATAGTTAGGCTGGCCTTGAACTTGCAGTGATCTTTCTGCCTCAGCTTCTTGAGTGCTGTAATTACAGGTGTGGGTCACTATGCCCAGTCCAAGATAGTTTGTTTATGGTGACATAATAATTTGGTTAAAAATAATTCATTGAGATCAATATAAATATTCACATTCAAAAGTACCCCCAAATCCTTCAAAGATCTTTACATTGTTTTAATATAGATACAATTTTATTATCAATATTAATTTTTTTGCGGTGCCAGAGATTGAACTCATCACCTTGAACTTGCCAGGTAGGTGCTTATGCCACTGAGCTATCTCCCCAGCACCTTAGATACAATTTTTATTTTTTTGGCGGAACCGGGGATTGAACTCAGGCCCTTGCGCTTGCCATGGAAGTGCTTATTCCACTGAGCCATTTCCCTGGCCCCTTAGATACAATTTTAAAAGTTAATTGCAGGGCTGGTGAGATGGCTCAGTGGTCTAAAGCACCTACTTAGAACAAGCTTAGCAAAGCACAGGGACCGCGGTTCAATCCCCCAGCACC